GTCTGTAAGCCTGTTACTTGTCTGTATATTTTTAGAGATGACCATTTGGGATTGAATAAATGATTGATGTGCTCTTCCTTGGGTAAGATTATTTCTCACACTCTTTTATTTGTTTTATTTTTTCATTTTTTTAATTGAAAATATATTTTTATACAATATAATCTGTCCATGATTTCCACTCCCTGGACTCTTCTCAGATCCGCATACCCCCAACTCCAAGCAATCTTTTTCTCTCTTGCTTTCTTGCTTTTAAAATTATGTTATCACATCATCTACCCCTGGTCAATGACTATAATCAAGTTTCTCAACTTTACCAAACATTGGTTACTCATAAAGCATAGATAGTAATGCTGATTTTTAATGTAGTTATGAACATAAATATTCCAAAATAGTATTTTATAAGTGCTTTATAGAATAGTTAGGATTATTTAGTATATTTTATTTATGTTAAATTTTTTAAAGATTATTTTATATGTGTGAATGTTCTACCTGCATGTATATATGGGTACCACCACATGCCCATGGAAGTCAGAAGAAGATGTTGGCTCCCCTGGAACTGGAGTTACAGATGGTTGTGAGCCACCATGTGGGTGTTGGAAATTGAACTCAGGTCCTCTGCAAGAGCAACAGTGCTCTTAACCACTAAGCCATCTTGGCACATGCACTTCAACAGTGTCGCATACTTCATAATTTTAATTGATTTCTAAAATATTTAGTATATTTTAAGCAGATTTCCAGGCTAAATAATAGTAATAATGGGTACCTAAATACTGATCTTTGAGGATAATGGGAATCGAAAAGGTTTAACAGAAAAGGGAGTGAAGCAATGGGAGAGGGGAGCGACATCAATGGAGTTAATCAAAATGAAGAGAGTACAAAAAAGACATACGGAAATCTGCTACCTTATAACCATTTAAAAAGTACAACTTGCCGGGCGGTGGTGGCGCACGCCTTTAATCCCAGCACTCGGGAGGCAGAGCCAGGTGGATCTCTGTGAGTTCGAGGCCAGCCTGGGCTACCAAGTGAGTCCCAGGAAAGGCACAAAGCTACACAGAGAAACCCTGTCTCGAAAAACCAAAAAAAAAAAAAAAAAAAAAAAAAGTACAACTTATATAAAAACAAAAATTGAAGGGAGATACTCCATATGGCTGAAAAAAAAACAAAACCTGACCCCAGAAGCTATATGAATACACCAGTGCCAGGGTGAGCCATGGGGCAGCCAGTACTGAGGCAGGGAGTGTCCAAGCAACCTGGAGCTCCCAATAGGACCTGTCCTAGACCAGCCAGTAGGCGCCCAGCATGGAGCCACTGCTGCTGCACCCATGCTGCTTGCCCTGCTGGGAGGGAAGAGTATGGAGCAGCAGTACTGCCCACAGGCTACAAGCACAAAGGTTGAGCCCCGCAAGGTTCAGGGTGCAGACATCGAGGGCTGGGTTGTGTGTGAGTGGCAGCCAGGAGCTTTCACAGAACCTGCCCCCAGACGCCCTGCCTAGCTACATCACCCTGATTCTGGGCAACAGCAGGATATATGAGTCTCATCACTGGTGCAGTGTTTATGGTGCTTCAGAAACCAGAGGCCCTAAACTACCCTAATTGTCATCATAGCACCTACATTCAGTAACTGATGGAAGCAGATGCAGTGATCCACAACCAAACACTGGGCTGAGCTCCTAGACTACAGCTGAAGAGAGGGAGGAGGGATCACAGGAGCAAGTGAGGTCAAGATCATGACAGGGAAAACCACGGAGACAGTTGACCTAAGCTGGTGGGAGCTCATGGACTCTGGCCTGTCAGCTGGGGAACATGCATGGGACCGAATTAGATTCTTTGAAAGTGGGTGACAGTTATATGGTTAGATCTGTTTGGGGAGCCCCTGGCAGTGGGACCAGGACTTATCTCGGGTACATGAATTGGCTTTATGGATCACACTCTCTAGGGTGGGATACCTTGTCAACCTTGACACAGTAGGGAGGGGCTTGGTCCTGCCTCAACTTAGTATGCCAGACTTTGTTGACTCCCCAAGAGTGGCCTTACCCTCTCTGAGGAGTGGATGGGGGGTGGGATGGGGGAAGGTGGGGGACAGGAGAAGGGGAGGGAGGGGAAACCGGATTGGTATGTAAAATGAAAAAAAAAACCTTTTTTTTTTAAATTACAAAAAAAATAAAAGAAACCAGAGGCCTTGAACCAGACCAACAACTCATTGCAATGAATATTTGCATGTAAAGTCATTTGAGCTATATCTCTATCTATCTATCTATCTATCTATCTATCTATCTATCTATCTATCTATCTATATGACACACTGCCATTTCCAATGCCACTATGACAAATTCAATGGAGAGGTGAGAAAGATGGAGGAATGGAGCAGTGAGTACGCAGTGGAGAGAGGCAGAACTAGAGACACAACAGTAATGACAGGTGTGAGAGAAGGCTCCAGTGGGTGGGCCAGCATGTCCTTGCTGAGCTGGGCTAATTGGGTGGTGTGCAACAGTCTGGGGCTTGTGCAGACTCAGCCCCAAACATGCTGATCGCCCTGGTTCTGAACAATGACAGAATGTCCAAGATGAAGAATTGTTCATTTTCTGAATTGGAGTTCCTCCAAGGTCCTCTATGGTCTATGTGGCCCCTGGAGGCTTCTTTGGCATCCATGGTCCACTGTTTCAAGCAGTGTTGAAGGGCAAGGTTCATGTGGATGTCTGTGGTACTACAGAAGTCAGAAGCTGTGTTGATGTTAGTGGCTCGTGTTACCTCCAAAGGCCGTGCTGTCCTGGGTCTGTCATGCTGTCTGAAGCCACGCTGATATCCATGGGCCCTGCTGCCACTGAGGGTCATGTCTGGATCTGTGGTCCTGTTGCAGCTGGGCCTTTGTTGATGTCTCTGGCCTGTGTTACCACCAAAGGCCATGTGGATATCTGTGGTCTGTGCTGACGCCTAAAGCCGTATTGCTGTGAGTGGTCTTCACTGCCATCTGAGGCCAAGTTGATGTCCTTGGCCTATGCTGCCACTGTGGGCTGTGATGGTATCCGTGTCCCTTACTGTGGCAGAGGGCCATGTTAAGTCCATGGTCTGTACTGCCACTATGACCATACTGAGGACTGTTGTGCATGCTGATGCCAGAGACCATGTGGAAGTCCATAATCTGTGCTCCTGCTGACTGCAAAAGGCAAGGAAGCTACTTTTGTCATGGTATTGTTGACTATAGACTCACAATTGAGAAAGAGGGCCACAGAAGGCTTCTGTGACAACCCATACCCCTCCCCAACTTCCTCCACAACAGCCTAGACAGAAAGCCATCAAAGAGAACTCTTAAAAATTGTGATAAGGATGCTGAAGTGTAGCTGTCTACAACATCTACAAAGATGACGTCTTTTGGGGTTTTGAGTGGGAAGGACTCAGTTTTCTGTAAGGGGCTGGCCACCAGGAGTTTGACCATGTGAGTATATGTTCAACACAAGTTAAACTTTGGTTTTCTTTTTTTTTTTTAATTCTTTTTCTTTTTCTTTTTTTTGTGGGGTGAGGTCACATCACAAGGGTGGGGGGAAGACTTGGGAGGATTGGGAAATGATGTGAAATTCCTGAATAATAAATAAAAATTATGTAAAAATTAAAAGAAAATACCAGTGCCAGAAATGTGATGAGCTTTTTGGTAATGATTGCCCCAGAGACCCCCATATAAACAGACTTTTGCCATTCCTTTTGGTTGTACACTAGAATTAGATGATACCATATCAGTTAGCTTTCAGGGTCTTGCATGATGCTTTGTAAGCCACAAGGAGAGAAAAGGTATTAACAGTCTTTCCCAGATGTGAATCTAATGACCTATACGACCAATTTTTCAGGCAAGATATGACTACTTCGCTACTTTTAGGGATAACCAACTGTTTTCATGCTGTAAACCTTGTCAAAATCCTATGGCAGGAAAATCCTGGACTCTTGTGGGGGAACTGAATGTTGTTGCTTAGCTAAATTGACACAGGGTTAAGTTGGTTTTTATCTATTTGCCTTAACACCCATAGAAAATGCTTCTAGCAGCCTTAATCAGAAAAATGTTCTCTTTCCAGTGTACCAAGGTGAATGCAGAGAATCATGGCTCTATAAAGTGCTGAGAATAAGTGATGAATGAGTGCTGAGCCCCTAAAAGAGATTTATACCATGCCCACTAAGGCTAAGGACTCCATGTTGCGTACCACGGCATACACTGGACAATAACAACAACAACACATGCACACACACATAAAATGGGAGATACATAAAACTAGATCTAACACATTTGATATATCTAATTATTTGATATATTTTATGTAGCTACTGTTTCATTAGTGATATGGAAGAGAAAATTTAAGCATATGCTTATTAAAACAGTGATACCTCTAAAAAACAAAATATGAAATATTTTTTATTAAGACTATCCAGCAAGGTAATTTATATTCTATAGTAACTAGTTTTTTATTCATAATTTTATTCATACTTTAAATTTTTTAACTTTTAAAAAAATTGTAAGATTATAATATAATCACAACATTTCTCTCTTTCCTTTCCTCCCTCCAAAACCTCCCATACACCCTCTCCACTCTCCTTTAAATTCATGGCCCCTTTTTTTTACTGTTAGTCCATGCATGCTCATGTGTGTGTGTGTGTGTGTGTGTGTGTGTGTGTGTGTGTGTGTGTGTGTGTGTATTCATAAATATAACCTGTTAAGTCCATATGATGTTTACTTGTATGTGTATTTTCAGGGCCAACCCTTTGGCACAGAATTTTAACCAGACTTATAGGTGTGGTCAAGCCTGTGATCCCAGCTACTTTAGAGAATAAGGTACAAGAAATGATGAGAGGCTCAGGCAAGCCTGGGCTACAGAGGGCAAGCACAAGAGCAAGAGAGTGAGAGAGAACGCATTATTGAGACAGACATTGTGAAATCAGCAGAGAATAACAGATTTAAACTTTTCTTAATTTTTATAAAAATATTTGCAACAACAACACTTCACATTAGCACATTGTTTTCATTTGTTTCTGTCAAAAGCTACTTTATGAACTAAGTCTTTGAAGGCTTGTTTTACTTGCTGGTTCCTCAAGGAATAAATAAAAGGGTTCAACATGGGAGCAATTGAAGTGCTGAGAACAGCTACTGTTTTGGTCAGTGATGCCCTTTCTTTTGCAGATGGTTTCACATAGATAAATATGCAGCTTCCGTAAGACATGGAGATGACAATCATGTGAGAGGAACAGGTGGAGAAAGCCTTTTTCTTCTGACTGATAGATGGAAATCTTAAAATAGTCCTGATAATATACATGTAAGATAAAATCACCAACGCCAACGTGAACAGCAAAGTAAACAGAGCAAAGTAGAAACCAATCACTTCTAGGAGCCAAGTATCTGAGCAAGACAGTTGTAAGAGGGGAAAATAGTCACAGCAGAAGTGATCGATGACATTAGAAGCACAAAAATCTAACTTGAGGACCAGCATGAGTGGTGGGAAGATGGTTAGAAATCCTGCCAGCCATGAGGCAAGGACAAGAAGGGTGCAAACTTTCTGGTTCATGATGGTGGTGTAATGCAGTGGTTTGCAGATGGCAACATAGCGATCATAAGACATAGCAGTTAGAAGAAAAAATTCTGTCACACCAATGAAGATGAAGAAAAATAACTGAGCCAAACAATTGTTATAGGAAATGGTCTTGACTTTAGTAATTATTGATGCCAAAAATCTGGGGATGGAAACACTGGTGAATGTAATTTCTAAGAAGGAGAAATTCCGGAGGAAGAAATACATAGGAGTCTTTAAGTGAGAGTTTAGCAAGGTGAGGATGATGATGATTAAGTTTCCAGTGATACTTAATATGTAAGTTATTAATAAAAAGATGAAAATTATTACCTGAAGCTCTCTGTTTTCTGATATTCCCAAGAGCACAAACTCTGTAACTACAGTGTAGTTTTTCATACTGATTTTCTCTTGTAATAAAATGTATCGATGAAAAAGACATCAAAGAGTTTATTTTATGAAGTGGAATTGAAATGTTTGTATATTGACATTATCATCTCCAACAAAATGATGCATTGACTCTCTTTTTCTGTAAGAATTACTACACGGGCATTTTCTGTCCTTCATTTAACATTTTGATAATCAGTATTGTCTTCCTTTATAAAGACATATATAGATGTCATTAATTTATCATCATAGCATGCAGGTCAAAGCCAATACTTGTTCATTACCATCGAAAATAGAGACTGTATACACATACTATATTGAATAGGGAAATATACTTATGGATCCATGTTTAAAATTTCCTTGTTAATATTTTTGTATGAAAACTTTGCTCATACTCAAAATTTCTGTATGTGTAATACAGCTTTAAGAGACAGACTACCTCCATAGTAATTATTAACTTCACCTGTAATTTGAATGCTGTTCTGAAATATCTGCTTGGAAAGCACATATATTGCTTTCCATTTTTAAGATTGCATGCTTTTAGAACTGAAATATCTAATGTTTAAAGTCAATTTTGATGCCATTTGAAACTTACAGAATTTAATTAATATAATTCAAAGAACAAATTTACAATTATAATGCATAGCATTGTAAAAATTTTCACTCTTAGAAAAATCTTTTTTTATATATAATCACAAATACCTGTGCTTGCAACCACAGTCATGTAGGACTATCGTTACATTGGTTATAAGAAGAGGAAAATTAGGGGTTGGGGATTTAGCTCAGTGGTAGAGATCTTGCCTAGCAAGCGCAAGGTCCTGGATTCGATCCTCAGCTCTGAAAAAAAAAAAAGAAAAAAAAAGAAGAGGAAAATTAATCACAGAGCTAGAAAAGAGAAACATAATACTATAATAAATTATGCATTTATATGATTATCATAAGTAATAGTTTAATGAACTTTTTAATATTTACTTTGTGTCTTTATCCTTACTTTTTGAGAATAAAAGGAAATTTATAAGGAAGTTTTTTCTTTTTTGCAAAAATATTGCTTCTCTCTTTGAAGACTGACTATCCAGAATAAATAAAAAATCATTAGCTTTGCTTTATTGAAATTATAAGATGTAAGATACATCACTTCTATCTGTCCTGTTCAATACTAATACATAACAAACAATATGCTGTTTGTGGCATAAGTTCTCAATTATGTGATATTGCTGTCTTTGTATAGCAGGAACTGGACTTTTGGCAAGAGGTGATTATTAAAAATGGTAATGGGCATTTCCCCTTTTCCATATAGTATTTTTGATAGTCCAGTATTGTCTTCGTTTATAATATACATAGTTGTCACTAGTTATCATCAAACATGCATGTCAAAAGCCAAGTTGTTATTAACATTTGAGAAATGGTTGAACTATATTAAATGTGCAACTAAGAATAAATGCTAAAATGATTGAGTTCTCCAATTCTTTTGAGTTAATAAAGTTTTAAATAACATACAAAACAAATTTATTTAAAACACAGAACATTCTTTTCTTATGTTGTATAACTAACACCCATTAGAAAGGTGATCTTAAATTTTCCTTTATTTTCTTAAAGTATAAAATATATTTTATAATTTTTGGCATTCAGCTAAAAGTTGCTTCTATTATTATATAAACCCTCTATCATAGATTAAGCACATGCTTAACCGAAAGAAAGATTTCTAGTAGTCTCACTTTGAAGTAAAATAAATTGCTCTCTCTCTCTCTCTCTCTCTCTCTCTCTGCATTGTGTGTGTGTGTGTGTGTGTGTGTGTGTGTGTGTGTGTGTGTGTGTGTGTGTGTGTGTGTGTAGGGAGGGTCTTACTATATAGCTCTGGCTGGCCTGGAACTCACTGTGTAGACCAGACTGGCTTTGAACTCATGGAGGTCTGACAGCCTCTATATATAATGTTCTTAATTCTTCCATATGAACAGAAATATGCTGGAACTCGACTATAAATATGTTTTAAATCATTGCAATTCATTAATCCAGGGAATAGTGGGTGGCACATTTTAAAGTTCTCTGCAGAAGGTAAAGAATGAATATTACATAAGAATTAGACAATTTTACCTTCTGTGGTCACTATAAATCCCTGAGAGACTAGCTTGGAGGAAGAAAGGAAGCAAGCAGAGGTTAATTCAGGAGATGTAATGTGGTCATGAACTACCTGTCTGGAAATCACAGCAATACAGGGAGATGAAAGTATTGTAGACCAGTGAGATGAGGCAATCAACCTGCTTTCCCTTCAGCCAAACTTAATTTTCCTAATAAACACATGGACTCTTCACTCGGGAGATAATTTATTCTCAATTATCTTGGGGTTGGTTAAATCTGAGTGAACTAATCTACAATGGGCCATTTGTTGAGGGTAGTGTCTTTATTTTATTCATCTGTGTATCTCAGGGGCCCAGAGAATGTGAGCAATTAATGAAAACGTTTAATATCCTTACATATAAGCAAACTTTGTTTGCTGCTGGTGATAATACAACATGTTGTATCCACTATGGAAATCAATATGGAATTTTCTCACGAAACTTGTACATTACCCAACCATATAATTCCTTGGCATATATCCAAATAATTCTAAATCCTACCACAAAGATACTTGAACTTTCTTGTTATTTTTTTCTCAATTCGTAATACCAAGGAAATGGAACCAACTTAGTTGTTCATCAACAGATAAATGTATGGTACACTCACACAATGGAATTTTATTTAACCATAAATAAATATTAAATAGTGAAGTTTGTAGAAAAAATTGATCTGAAAATTATTATATTGAGTAAAGTAACTCAGGCTCAGGGGAAAAACCAAAATTGAATGCTCTCAGGCATATCCTATTTTAATTTTTATATATGTGAATACATATAATGCATTCATTCATTCATATATGGCTGTGGTTGTGTGTCTAGGCTATGTAACTAGAAAGGGTACCACAAGAGGTGAGAAAGGAGGTTTTAAGACACAGAAGATGGAAATAGAATATATGTGACATAAAGGGAAAGAGGCCTAGCAGGGAAAGAAGGGTACCAAGTTGGGGGTTGGCTGGGAAAGAAGCAGGGAGGAAGATAAAAAAGGAAAATTATGTGTGAAAATACCATAATGAAACCAATTACTGATGTTCAAATTTAAAAAATAAAACTTTAAAAAACAATATTTTAATTAAAAAAATAAAATTCAAACTAACACATAAATATGAGATGCAAGTGTATATACAATAGTGAACAGTAGTATAAAGGGACATACAGAGTGGTCATTGTATTTTCCACCTGACTCCTGTTTTCTTTACATTTTAAATTACCCAGTTTAATGCTCTATAATATAGCCTATGTGACACTTTGTATCTTTACTCATAAATTCTCTCTCTCTATATATATATGTATATATGTATATATGTATATATGTAGTATATAATTTTGATAGGGGAGATAGAGGACCAAGTATATAAATACATATAGTATATAATGTTCATAAGGTAGTTAGGACCATGTAAGAGTTTAGTGTATTACATGTTTTAAAATTTTTATATTTTCCAAAATAGATATTGAGTATATTTTATTATTTTTTGTTAATCAATTGCTTTTGTCTTGTTTAACCATAAGATATATTTCTGTGCATTAATATCTAACTTTTAAAATTAATTTTGTATGCTATCACACAAATAGTGCTTCATCGTGGAGGTTTCATATGTTTGTCGTTATTCTTGGTCCTCCTTCATTCCTCTCCCATTCTTGTTCCATTCCCCTATTATCCCCAAGTCCCATTCTGCCCTACCTTTTCCCCAGAGAGTCTTCCTTCAGCTTGCATGTCACGTGTTCCATGATCCTCCCATTTCTGTTCTAGCTTACTGTTCTTCTAAGTCATTAACAACCTAAGGAAAAGTAGAGATGTGGGTGGCTTTTAAGGCAAGAAACCCTCTCAATTTCAGTTACAGCAGAGGAACTGCAGACTACCCACAGCTGGTGAATCACTCTTTTTTAAATCAATCCAGATCTGAAAAACTGCATTTTAACCAGAATATTCCAGCAGGCGTAGAAACAGGTATTTTTACATGAGTAAAAGGCCATCAGCATTTACAATATGTGTAGTCCTAGCCTGGAAATTCTGTGTGTTACATCTGTAGGATGTTTTGTGTAATTATATCCACTTGTGCAAAACCATAAGTGTACACAAAACATTGACTTTTTCCAACAAAGATGGGACACCATTTAAATATCCATCACCAGAATACTGGATGCATGTACTATGTTTAGTATAATCCTAAATGCAATTGCATATACATGTTTTTGAATTATGACATATAGAACTACTGATGAGGGGTGGAGTCCCCAGGGTCCATCATCTATTCTAACTTGGAGTCTTTTATGTTTCAAAATGGAGTTTGGGATTTTTTTCTAGTTCTGTGAAGAATGTCATTTGGATTTTAAGGGGGATTGTGTTGCTCAGTAGATTGCTTTTGGCAATGTAGCTATTTCCACAACATCAGTTCTGCTCATCTATGATCATGGGAAGTCCTTCCATCTTTTTCAAGTTATCTTCTTCAATTTATTTCTTTTGCAACTTGAGCCCATTTACATGATATATCTTATATCTTTGTCTTCCTCTTCACTGTATTTTTACTAACAATCTCTAACAGCTAATTCTCTCACCCCTATAAACTGTTGATCTTTTACCTCTCTCCCATGAAAGGGACCTCAAAAGGCCAGAAGGGACTTATCTCTAAAATCCTGACAAGATGAGACAGCAGGCAGGCTAGTCCTGGGTGCACCTCTAAAATAAAGCTTGTTTTAATTGGAAAAAAATATTTTTTCAATGTCTTTAGAGATATATAATATTACTTATAAGTATTTTTCAAGGCTGATCATTTAGTATTGGCAGTAGATTCAGATGGGAAGGGAGATGGGGAGGATTTAGGAGGAGTTGGAGAAGGGGAAAGCATAATCAGAACATATTGTATGAAAAAACTATTTTCAATAAAAGAAAAATAGAAAATAAATTGATTTTTATTA